TGAAGCCCGGGATATATATCGGCTTTGGATATTCCTTCAGCAGTGATTCGACTGCGGTACTAATTCCTACTGTAAGTTGGGTACGGATATCTAATGGTGATTTCCTCCGTTTATCTCCTTGTTCCTCCCGAAGAGACAATCTTATCCTCGGGCTCCCGTATGTAACGTGCGACCCGGCTTAATCTTGCCCGCCCGATCGGGAGTTTAGGACACCTAGCATCCGGTACTGTGCCTTAAAAGAGGTTTTATTTTTTATCATGTATGGTATTCAATGGATTTCCCGCCCACGATACCCACTACAGCGCAGTAGAGTAGCAAAAAGGAGTCTCCGCTGATTTGGTGCTGGTCTTTTCTCATTCATTGAATTTTTATCCCCCCCGTATATTATGGGCAAGTCATACATTATCACTCTACAATGGACTATCTGCCCGATATGTACTAGTACAACCAATACTCCACCTTTACCCTCGCTCGCCTGCCCAAGCCTGGCAGGGGGGTTGGAGACGGTAGGAAATAATCTAGGGGTAGCGCTCTGAAATCCCCGCTGCTCGCTGGGCGTACAACTACTATTCGTATGGCTTTCGTGTGGAGGGGGGCGGCCGGCCAATGGGGTAGCGGCACCGTGGGAGGAAATAGCGGTGGAATTTGGCGTTGTGTGAGAAGGGTGTGATCGGAAGCTTGTCTATCCTCCCAGATGTAGTAGCAGCGGAGGCAGGAGTATATTTAAAACATAACCAAAACGTTCCGGTCCTTCCATGGCCGGCCACTCATATCAGTTCCTCCACACGGGTCGCCGCTCTTCCCTACACTCTTGTGAGAACGGAGGAAAGGCTGTCTGGGGAAACTTCTAGATAGATCACGAAGGCTCTAGAGAGATGCACAACACTCCCAAGCAGTTCACCCTACTCCTCTCACTTCCGGAATTACCCGCGGCATCCTATCGGACCTCTGCACTGCTAAAGATTAGCGACTCTCAATGATCTTGGGCTTGCGGGTTGTGTAGAGGTTCTCGCAACGAGGGGGTTACATCCGCCTTCGGGGTAACGCGAGGATGGGCTACGAATCGGAGTACCTCCGTACCCGAAGATGACTTTACCCTGGGCGTTTGGCCCAAAAACGGGTGGAGAGGAAGAACCCCTCTAGGCTCATTTCACGTCCTAGAATGTTAGGCCCCACAGGGGGGCCAGGGCAGCCTGCCAGGTGTGACAGCTGCGTATGACTTAGAAGGCTTGTGCGGTGCCTCTATTGTACTTAGCTAATTATAAGTGTATTTATGAACATTGACCAGCAGGCAATTCCCCATGACACTAAGGTCCTCAAAGAGGGATCTATTTGGATCTGATCATGTAAGAAGGCTCACAATGCTGCTCTTGGTTAAAGGTAAATTTTACTTCCAATTAACGCAGTCATAATAGGAGAGAAAAAATATATATGGGAGAAAGTTGAAAAAATTAGGTAGAGAATTCTGGAAACTTCAAGTGCTCGCGGCATGCCTAATCGGATACAGGAATTTGGGCACTAGCGGTAAGAATAGCGAGTTAACACCCCACCTTCTCTCTTTCTCTCAGCCCTAGCCGAATCCTCTTTTCTTCCCAATTTTCTTGACGGGATGGACAATAAATTGTGGTTCGTTCTAGTCATACCCTCTTGGAAGTCTCCCCGGGGGAAGTCCCGCGGGGGCACGAGACCATTGCGAGCAGTGCCCTGGGATACGTAGTATTATTTCTCAGGAACCATCAATGGGGAACACGAAGAGGTTGATTCTAAAGTAACGAATAAGGTCTAACGATCTTCTGCTTTCTTGATTCTTTTGATTCCAAAATGAAAAATCGGCCTCTTTTATCACTCCTGGATACTGACAATATGCGACATTTTCAAGCTCCCCAATCATGCAGGATAGTGCTCAAGAGTGCGATTGCGTCCTGAGAAATATAAACTCTTGGTGGGAGCTAGCTTGTCTGAGGGAAATCATAAGGAATGTAAGGAATACAATACTCAGAGGAAACTGATCTGTGGACTAGTTCTGTATCGTATCAAGAGTCAGAAGAAGGCAGGGGAGTCAGAGACCAGGGTTAGGGGAAGTATGTCTGGAAGGTTCTTACCCTAGTGGTAGCACTCTAATAAGATTTGAGCCCAGTGGCCCGGGTATGGTGGGTGCCCTCTAGACACAGCACCCCTGTGGATGCAACGGGGGACGCCTGGGCATTCAATACTAGGGAAAAATCATGGGTTTAGGTTTGAATTTCTAGGTCACTTTGAATATTTTCTCTCCTTATAATGCAAGATTATTATATTAATATTCTGATACTGATCTACTTTATTTAAATCAACTTTCTGTACTTAGATTAATCAATGATAATAATATATAAAGACACTACAGACAATGCAGCCCTAAATCCATGATTTTTCCCTAGAATTGAATGCGCAGGCGTCCCCCCTTTGGATCCATCGAGGTGCTTTGGCTAGACAGCACCCACCATAGCTGCAATATAAAAGATAGATTGAAATACATAGACACCATAGCTCAATTTATGTTACTTGGTTGGTTGGTTATGGTTTAACTTCAACACTCGGATGCTATGCCGTGACGGATGAAGAGGGGGGGTAGTTTCATAGGACAAAGATATATCGATAATAATTTAGGGGTAGCTGGAATAACATTATATCAGCAGGGATAACTGTATTATGCTGCTTATGGAAAGTAGTTTTGGGGGACCTGTGTGTCACGGGGTTGGTTACGGGAGTTAGTGGGGTGTGGGAGCACTGGTAAATAGGACAGGTATCAGCATCAGCTATCCCTATTCGGGTAAGTGAGAGTCATAGCAAGCATAGGGGGCAGGTATCTCTTCCAGAAACGGGTTCACAAAAAGATTAGCGGGATTGCTAAAACACCAATATTAGTAATGAGAAAGGGCTAAAAAACTAGAAAAAAACTCGTTATTCACGGGAATGGATTTAATTACCTTGTGTGTTTTATATGGGTGGCTTAAGATTCCAACACAAACCCAAGTATTAGTATAGCCGGGCTGGAGTACCTTTGACGTAAGTCTCGGGTCTTTTTTTTTTTGATTACCGCGGTATCATCCAGGGAGCTATGCCAGAATTCCAAGTGGGTCATCTAGTGCGATAGATAGTATCATATCTGCACTAGTACAAAAGGGTTGTTCACTGTGGTCAGCTGACGCGAGTGATGGAACGTGATTATTGGCGGCCGATCCCCCCAGTGGATGAGGTTTGGGTATCCCCTTATACGAACTGAGAAATAGAGGGAGACGCGGGTCCGGAGGGCTGTCACTGGGGTGGAACATTGTGTGTGTCGTTGCTTCGAACGATAGCCCTCTAAGACAAACTCGAGTAGAAGCTTGAAATTCGATTAGTTGTTTGTATATATCTAATGGATATTATATCTCTACAGTACGGCAGTAACCGCTACACCTGGATTTTTGGGGAGGTGCTGTGCATTTGCGCCGATCGGCATTGGGGTGGCTTTCGGCCTCGGTGGGGTGGATTTGTAGTGCGGCCGCCCCCGTTGGTTGGTTCGAATTTTTCGCATTTGGGGCCCTGTATAGCATTCCCGGTTTGCGCTTGCTTCCTTGGGAGATAAGTGGGAGCAACTTTTAGTTCTTTCTTTTTGCCCTGCGCCCCTATTTTCTTTCCCCCCCCCTAAGGCTAGGAATGGCGAGAGACGTGCTGAAAGTGATTTCTCTGGGGTAGCCGGTGGGGGTATTGAAGGTGCTGATTGTTTTTGTGGGGCGAGGTGCTTATTTTTTTTGTCGAGGGTGGCTATCTGGGACTCTCGGTGAACAAATCAGGTGGATTTACCCTGCCCATATCAATAGACATCCCGCACCATATCAGAAATGGAGATGTTTGACGAGGCTGAAATGGGGTTTTGTGTTGGTCTAACTTTCCTCCTCTGGAGCCGCTACCTTGGCAGGCGCGGCGCCTAGGAGTTCATTGCGTTGGGTCCGGGCGACGTTACTTCCAGTAGTTGAAGTTCCTCGTGCCAAGTTTGTGGCTAGCTGCCATAACCTTGGCACGAGTATGGATTCCATAATATTCTCTCCCTCTCCGAGACCCCTGTGCGTTACTAGGGGTTTTCTTTTCTTTTTGTTCTAATATCATAGTTTCTTGCTCTGTGTGGTCTGAAGCACCTGGCGCTGACGACCAATGTGTGTTTGGGGGATGTTTGTGACTATCCCTTCGTGCACTTTCAAGCACTGGAACTAAAAGGCTTTGCTGAAAGTGGCCCATCCAGTACAAGGAATAAGTTGCAAAACAGGCTAAAGGTGCTGTACACTAATTTAGCGACAAATCCTCTTCAAAGAACTATTGGCCAGGCGACTGTCAAGATCAATCGACTTTCCTGTTTATCATTGATTTTCTTACTAAAATCGCACTGGTAGTAGTCGGGGTAAGGCAAGAGTGCGGACCCTTCCCCGCCGCACTCATTCTTCCACCTACAGTTTGGGTTCTCCAGTGGGTGAGTGCTTTCGCTCTAGCGCCTGACCTGATTGGGGGTGATTGTTGCTTTAGTCGGCATGGCCTATTGGTTGGTGGGTTTTGGCATCATTTGAACTGGGATGTGGAGGGTCAATCGGGGCGCATTTCAACTGCCAAGCCTTTGGTTTTCGGTTGAACGTAATTGAAATTTTGTACGGGTACAGTACTGTACCAGTATGGTGTTGATACGACAGCACGGTAGGTGTAAGACGGGGTTCTTGTGTAACGTGAGTGTCATGCATGCTGGGGGTATTTATTTCCCATTCCTGCCTCCGCCTCTCCTTCGTCCCTCATAAATCCACTTCAACCTCACACTCCTCATTGTCCTCTTCCAGTACCGGTAGAATATCTAGTCGCTTTTATCCCCCTACTACCGGCTGCAGTCACGAGGCTTCTGTGGAGGCCGGAAAGACAAAATACCAAATCCAAGCTCTCTTTCCTCCCCTCAGAAATCCACAAAACATACCACCTAGCCCCTCACGACTGCCTAGAAAGAAATGGGAAACCTCTGCTCTCGTGGCGAGTCCATTCGAAAAATGGAAATTCAAATCGGCGAACTACGGAACGACATGGCGAGGCTAGCCGGGGATAGAGAGGTGTCGGAGGTGGAGTCCGGGGGTGGAAGAACTATTGCTCCTCGTGGCAGTGGTGGTGGTGGTGGTGGTATACAGGGTCGAACGACAGCGACAAGCGGAGGAACGGCTGGGCGCCGCTGCAGACAAGGGAATTCCCGGGAGTATAGGGCTCGGGAGAAACTGGAACTGGAGAGAAGGAAAGCAATGAATGCTAGGAAGGATAGGAGTTGAAGGGGTTAGACGCGGAGGTCGGGGTACCTAGTTGGGGTGATTTTTTGGGGAGAGTTCAGAATAAAGTTGGAATGCGGGTGAAGATACTTGGGTGTGACCTGAAAAAATCAAACCAAAATCAAAATTATCACATCAACTTAGGTGATGTCCTGTGAAGTAGATGGTTTCCATAAATTCGCTGTGACTCGATACATGCCCTTCTAAGCTATTTGGGTCGTCTGATACATACTGAGTTAGGCACTTATCCACATGGTTTAAAATATTATAGTTCAGAACGGACTATCTGCTGGGTCCTACCGGAATCGGTATGCAGGAATCAGGTGTTCTCAGCTACGTGGCAGAGAATACCCTAAGCTCCGCCTTGATTTGGGTTGGGATAAAAGGAATATACATGACCTTTACCAAGAGAGCAAAAGATATCCTTCAAGTACACTCATTCTCTATTCGAGTTCTTACTGGAATACACTAATTTAGCTAAAAAGCATCAAAGACAGTGGACATCTAGGAACCTCAATTGGCTCCTAACCTTGGGGGAGACCATTTGGAAGAGTGGGGTAATAGGTTTTCTTGATAGTGCAGCAACAATATGTAGAGTTAGCTCTTTGAGCCAAATTTGGGCATTTAATTTCCCCCGAAAGTGCCGTAGTGGGGATTTGAGCAGAATTCCAGCTCCAGTATGTCAGTGGGAATATGGCCAAAGTTTGTAACTGGTGGCATTCAGGTGTTGGTGCGTCTACGGATGGCGACATGATTTCTTGGACTTTCACGGATCGATATTATAATAGCTCAGCGGAAACGACGTGCAAGCGAAATATAAGTTACAGGCATATAGAACCCGAACACAGGGATAATGGGTTTTTATGGCACATTGTCTATGCGTATCTGGCCGCCCATACAAAATTTGGACTCAAAATTTCCGGTTCTAAGGGCGTACCTGTACAGCTTTCAATCACAACCTGTTAACTTTTTTTTTTCTCACTTCCCCGCGCCTGGCTGGCTTGGCTACAAATAATTGGTTGCCAGAGTTCATACCCGACCGGTTTGGAGCGATAAAAAAATGGTGGGTGTCGTACTTAGGTGTAAGTGCATTTCACGTCCGGTGGCTCAAATCCTGTTAGTGCGTTGTTGCTCTACAATCGCTTACCTACGGTACTGTACCTCCTTCCGGAAGTGGACTCGACTTTTGGGGGATACCAAAAAAACTCACCGATTATCACTCGAACCCCCTTATCCGGTTTAGTATACATACAAATCTAACATATTGTAATCGGGGTGGACGCGACTTTTACCTACCCCCTAGTACAGTACAGGGCTTTTTTTCTTTTTTGGGGAGTTTATAGGTGCTATTGCTTTCTTCTTCCTCACATCTCTACGTTATATTCTAGAGCTCACGCACTTGTTGCATATGCCGGGGCTGTGTTAGCGGCAGATTTTTTAAGTGGAATTTTAGAGCCTTGGATGGAGGCATGGGCCTCTATTGTACAGTTGTCACTTGAACCTACTGATTGGAAACTGATCAGGAATTGGTTGAATGTAGTTACGATGATGACAAGATTAGAGGTAAAGCAAAAGCAACGGCTGTCCCATCGTGACCATCTCCCCATTTAGTACGCTTACAATTAACCTATGGCCTGCCCGGGTGACACTGAGATGGCTTAGTTTCTCCTTACATCTCTTTCCTTCGTTATCATGTGTGTGCAGGGGATTCGGGACATGCATGGAGGTGAGAGATGCGTGGTGATCTATAGAATGATCAGGACACTTTCGATTTGGTTTACAGCACCCACGTGCCTGTCTTTATCATTGGATTAGTAGAAATCCCCGAGAAGAGAACGAAGTTCTTGACCACACCTTTCCTACTATCCCATACAACGTACTGCTAGCTACTGGTGACAACAAAGCACAAACGCTCCCGAAAGATCCCCGGAGTTGTTCAAACTAATAAATTAAACATTACACCCTACGGCGCGGAGAGCGATAAATCCCTACCGGTAGCCCGGGTTGAAATGGTGTGATAGGCCGGGCTTAAGGAAAGCTATCGGTAGTGGACATTCTACTTCATGTCCCAGCATTTGTGGGGGGGTGTTGAAGTTATTGCACCATCGGGTTATCTCATGGTTTCCTTCTACCGTATCTCTTCTTAAAATCACCTGCCTTCTCACTCCCTCATTTACCCATCCATCCATTTATTCATTTGAACTTCACCACCAGCCCTCTCCATAAGGTTAGACCCTTGTTTCATCAATTCCTCGCGGTGCTCTGTGCGCTGTGAGGAGAGATGCATCACTGCGCCACAGTGGGCGTTTGAGCAATATTTGGGCGTTGTTTCATTCCGTGCGTGCTTAACCTTGGGGGTAGGGAACAGGATTTGTCCTTCTTCTTTGCGTGTTTTTATATGGCGTTGTATTCCATGAGATTGACTACAATCATCTCGCCGACAGCATGGTTGACCGCAATCACTTTGTCGGCCATAAGAATGATTGAAGTCATATAGTGGTACATTAGATTGGTTGAAGTCACATTGTTATCCATTGGATTGATTGAAATCATGTTTGTCTTTGGGAATAATGATAAATAGTGCAACGGTATGGTTGGCGAAACAGAATGGGATCCGGCCGTTTCGAATATCTCAAGGAAAGGCGTAGTTATGCCGTCCGTTCATTTTGGGTACTCCCATCGATCAGGAGCATCCCATGTCAAGGTTGTGGCAGGAGTAACGGGGACGGTGCTACCGGTATTCGTGTCAGCCAAGAATGGGCGCCTCTTTTGGAATAGCTCTAGCGGGCCCATACAAGGGATAGTGTTGATGGTCTTTCTCTATGCGCACAGGACTCAACTTGAAGTACCGTACACTACCACCGGGTGAGGTGGTAAATATCACAAAAATTGAGACCAAAATTTCCAACCATTGGACTAAATGACTCTAGTAAGTATTATATTAAGCCTCGTATTATCTTCACAGGCTCAAACTTGCAGTCAATTTGCATGAGAGCTCGAACAAAGCCGGTCGATAAGTTCTCGAGGCATCCGCTCCCACTCTATATATCATACAATGTTTGATATCGCTTCCCCTAGATACTGGAATCTTTCTCCACAGTCATGGCTGTTCAGCAGCGCAACCACTATACTTTTTCTGGGCCCGCGGGGGGCTATTCCAAAAGAGGCATCCATTCTTGGCTGGGAGACACGAGTGTACGAGAAGCAATGAAGCCACGCCAATCACTCCATAGATCACCAAACATATTATTTGTCCCCATAAATATCCCATCCCTCGTGCAGCCCGTAGTACTAGGGAATGGCATGCTGGGGGAGATTTCTCCGTGGATCATATTCAACCCGGGAAAAAAGAAGCCACCAACAGTATGATATTCTAGAAAACTCCAAGAACAACCACAACTCACTTCTCCACCGTTAGCTCTAGCGCGCAGCACTCCCGGCACCAACAAACGGTAGTGCGCACAAGAAAATCTTGCCGCTCAACGAAGTCAAATGAGAATCAGAGGAGAAGATAGCAAAAACAATCGTCAAGTGCCCTCTGAAGCCCGAAAGAGAGACACGACCACGCTCGAAGAAGCAGGAGTCCAGAGTCTAATACCGCACCGGGTATTACAGCCTTTCAGGCCTCGAGTAGCGAAGCTACTCTATCACGCCCATGCTGGATAGCTAACGAAAGCGGTGTTTGGTCCCTTCTGTCAGACCTATCGGGGTTGAAATCTTCCCGCCCAAACCGCAGCTTTACTACACCATCATACCCACTGCCGGCGTCCCACAAAAGCGGTTTTTGGCCTTGCAATGTTTCTGACCTATCGGGGTTGATATTTTTCCGTCCCAATAGTAGTTTCGCCACACCCTCACCCTGATTCTTGACAGTCCGCGAGAGCGGTGTTCGGCCCTGTTTGTCTAGCCTATATAGGCTGACTCATCTCTTTCTAATTAGCACCCATTACCTGTGCTATTTTTCCCCGCCAGCGATTGGTGCCCCCGGGGTTGGCGAATGGCCGACCAAGAAGCCTGGCCACCCCTTCATGCCCACACCGAACGGCCCACGGGAGCGCCGCTCGACCATATCCCATGTCCGGCATATCGGGTTCGGTATCCCTCTGCTGAAAGAGTGGTTTTACTATTTCTCTATGCCCACGCCCCGCAGCTCACACGAGTGGCGCCGCTCCCACGCTATCTCTTTGGCTCACATCCCATCTTTTCAACTTTATCAAATCAATCGCGAGACTAGCAATGCCGAAATACGAAACGCAAGTGGGGCGCAGAAAATAGCTGACGACGACGACGGTAAAAAAGTAAAAAAACATTCTAATGGACCCCCAAAGTAATTCGGCATATATCTGATCATCCCACTGGCCAAGAAGCCGGAGGGAAATGTATCTTGAGTTCTATGAGAGCTCTATTCTCATGTGGGTTCCCCAGTAGAAAGAAGAATATTCTAAGAAGGGTAGACCTTAGTGGTCACGAGGGGGGCTGGCCGAAAGATCCTTGATGCCCTCGAAGTTGGGGGTTTTCAAACATGTTTTCGCTATTTTCGAGTGGGTTCTGCCGGGCAAGTCGGCGTGGCCGGGAAGGTGCTCTTTAACGGTGGAGTAGGTCAACCCGGCGGCCGAGGGCCCTTTATCGACTGCTGAAAGCCCTTGAAAATAGGCCAATAGTGCCCGGATCGAAAGCACATTGCTGCTATTAATGCCGGCTGGCCCCGTCTCGACTGCTAGGGCACGACACATCTCATCCACCTTCAGCGGCCGCTCCGAATGTGAAATCCACATCAGAGTTGCGTTCGCGAGTCTTTCTCTACCCCCTTC